ATAGTACTTACAAACATCTTAAAAAGAAAAGAATCTACTCTACTTCTAACATAAAGAAAGAAGCAAAGCCTGGATTAGCAATCTCAAAGAAAGACTTTGAAGCCTATAGGGAGTTAACAAAATTCACTTTCTTTTAAAGAAAATACAAGCCAACTAGGATACAAGAATCCTAACAGACATAAAAAAAACTATCTAAAAATTAAGAAGGCTTGATAAATTTATTAATGAAGAAATAGCTTCTCTCTGGTTACAAGAAGAAATTCCAAAGCTATTATCAAAGATCACTGAAATAGAAAATAGTCTCAGAATAGTATACAAGAAGAAAGAAAGTTTTTACATTAGAAACAAATTAAAGAAGCCTTAGAAAGCTAGTGTGAAGATCTCAATTCCAATCAAAGACAGATACTAGGCTCAATCTTGAATTACAAAAGTCCAAAAATTATACTAGATCAAGTGTTAACCAGGAATTAAGAGGGGATAGAATATATAACTTATTAATCCACAAACTATCAAAAGTAAGGTTAAAGATTATTATAAAGAAGCTTTTAAACAAAGAAATATCAACTTTGAAAGCTTAAATCTTTCTTGGAAAAAATAATATCAATCCAAAGAGTAAATTAATTCAATATGGTATTCATTACTAACAGAAAAAATCAAAATAGAAGAGCTTGCAACTATTTTGCAATACTTTTTAAACAATAAGATAGCCAGTTCCTCATATATTAGTTATGAAATGCTTAAGCATTTAAGTATCAAAGGAAAAGAGACCTTATAATTGCTGTTCAACAAAGTTTTAAATACTGAATGGATACCTGAGAAATGGAAAAGTAGTAATATCTACTCTATCCCTAAACCCAAGCCTTGAAAATGTCACCTGAGCAATGTTGGACCCATTGTTCTTCTAGAAACAACTCAGAAATATTTTACCAAAATCCTCATCAATGTCTATTAAGGATATGTAAATAGCACAAAATTCTTAAAGGCTCAAACTTTGCTAGTTTACTAGGAGAAAGTATAGTAGAACCTATTCATCTATTAAATAGTATATGTGAGAAAGTTAGAGAAAAAGGAAAAGAACTATGGATTCTCTTTCAAGACATTGCTAAGACATATGTCACAATATCTCTCTTCATGCTTGGAAAAGTTATAGATCAGATTTGAATCCCTATAATTATCAAGAAGATTATAATAGATTTTTTCAAAAACAGAAGTTGTAGCATCATTCTTCCCAATGGACTTTCTAATCCAATAGTTGCAAGAGATAGTATAGATTAAGGAGAAACAATTTTCTCGCTATTATGAAGAATTTTTCATGATTCACTGCTATGTAAAATTCAAAATAACATCGATTTGGATTATATTATAGAAGAAGAATGATTACTTAACTTCCATAAATCTGAAAAGAAGGTCAAGCTCTCTCTAAAATAGGTAGTAATAGTCTATATAAATAACACAATATGGATTACTAAATTCAAGAAAGACTTGAAATGTATTTTGGAAGAAGCAAAAAAGTTCTACATAGCAAAGGACTTACAAATTAATACAACAAACTTAGTCCTTATTATCAACTGAAATTCTCAAGATTCTGGAAGGATTCAAACTAGAATGAAAGATATTGTAGTTAATGAAATTGATAAGAAGAATTAGGTCAGATTTCTTGATATCTGGTTGAGATCAAAATAGAAAAGTCAGGATATAATCAGTCTAATAAAATCAGAAATCGGGGTAGTAGTTCAGGAAATATTTAAGAAGCTGATGGAAAAACATGCTCAATATATTATTAATAGAGTGCTAATTTCAAGAATAGAATATAGAATGCAATCTACATATCTTAATGAAAAAACATATAATAAACTTATAGTTATATTCAGGAAGGTTTTCAAGAACAAAGCCTTAATCTATAAAACAATCACAAACAGTTGCATCTATAATAAAGAAATATATGGTCTCAAAAGTATTTGGGAAATACAATTAAAAAACCATATATTAGTACTATTCTATTAGCTCAACAATAGTGAAGCCTTTGGTATGGCTATCATAATTCAGTTGAAATAGAGCCAGATTAAAGGCTGGGAATTTGAAAATATCTTAGATAATCTTGTGAACTTATGTAAGATAATTAAAGGAAATCTGGCAGCTGCAACATTGGTCTTAATAAAAAAACTTCAAATCACCTTTCAAAGTTAGAAATGGAAGGAAACCTTTAATTATTAGGGAGGTATTCTATCTATTAAGTCAATTCTGCAAAATAATAGAGAATATAAGAAAGTTATTCTATACTTTGTAAGTACAAGATCATATTCCTAGATCAAATTAATAATACAACTATAATAATACTTAAGAAATAGAAAGCAATCCAGATTTTCTTTAATAAATACAAAGGACCAGTCCCCTCTTGATATAAAAATATTTGTGAAAAGGTAATAGAAAATCATGATAATTTAAGGAAATCACTATATAAACTAGACTGGATGGACTATAATATTCAAACTGAAGCTTTTTTAGCATATTCTGATAGAAGAAAAACACACTAGGTAGCCTACTCTAACTCTTCAACTAATATATTGGAAAAGACATCATTTTTGAATAATAAAATCCAGTTTGCTCTATATTAGTTGATATATAGTATAACTCTACTAGGAACTATACTATACTTTAACCAGATAGATCTTTTCAAGTAACAAAAGTAGATATATCATAAGTTTGTCTTCTTCTACAGTTAAATAAATATGAAAATCTGAAAAAAAAAACAAGTTCTTTTATCAGGTAACTTTATATATTAATAAATAGCTATAAGACACAAGCAATAACTTCACTAGTGTCTAAATCTGAAATGAAAATCCAGATAGAAAACTAAGAAGCCATGCTAATAAAACAAGTTATTCGATCAGAAGAATATATAGATGAACTTATAGATGTTCTGAAATATAACAGAAGATATATGGATAATAAGTTTACTTTCTATACAGATAGCTTCTATAAAAAAGAAACAAAAGATAGTGAGCTTGAAATAGGTCTGGTCTGGATTCTAGTAAAATATAATAAAGTTGTAAAACAATTCTTAGCAGGGGTATCAACATGGCCATCAGCAAGTAGAGTAGAAATATTAACTATTCTAACTACAATATACATAGCTTTCTGAAACATAATAGTCATAATCTTTTCTGATTGTAATACTGTAGTCAAGACATAGAAATCCATTAGTTCACAAGTCAATATCAACAAGGAGATGGACAAAGACTATCAATTGACCATTATGAAGTAAAATCAAAAACTTAATTAAAAAGAAAGATCTTATCTTGAAAATTATGAAGGTCAAAGTTCATAGAATTGATAAATTCAATAACCATGTAAATCTACTCACCAAACAAGCTAGATGAGAAAATTTGATAATTTGGTATTAACTATTAGAGTTAGAAACAGTTCTTACAATAATTATATGAAGTGAACACATAATAAAGATCAGTATTAGAAAATTTATTAAAACATTTAACAGAAAAAAGATTGAAAAAGATTGAATAGTACAGAAAAGGATTCAAGAACTGTGAATCCAATATAACAAAATCATAGACTGGTTAACCTTCTGGAATTAGTTCAACCCATCAAATATCTTTAATATCTCCTTCAAAAACAATAAATACAAAAGCTTTTTGACTAACTTAACTCACAATAAACTTTCAATATTACAGATACTCAAAAAAAGAAAATAAGATATTTATACCACAATGATTTATCCAATATGTGAACTTCAAGAAGAAATATTAAGACATCTGTTTAAATGTCTAGCCACCAAAGAAATTAGAGAAAATATATAGAGAAAAACAAAAAAAAAAAGATAAAATCAACTATTATATCAATAAAAAAATTAAAAACAAAGAAGAAGTTTATCCTATAACCAATAACTGAACAAATAAATAGTTAAATGAGATCCAACAATTTGACAGAAGCTTTTTTAATAATATTTGTGGATATATAGAAAAGAATGAAACCAATTTCTTAAAGAATTATCTTAAGCACAACTCAAAATTTCCTCGACAATTATATAGAGCATAATTGGTAAGCTTTGTTATAAGATGAGGAAAAATTTCAAGAAGAATATATGGAACAATCACTAAAAAAAAGTAATAAAATAGGAAAAGAAACAAAATATTACTGAAGAGGACAAATGAACTAAACACCTGGATATAGATCCAATATGCAGATCATATAAGAACAACAAGAACCTACATTTTTAGAAGACCTGGAACAAGAAGCTTTTGAAATAAAGGAGGAAACAAGTATATGGAAATCATCAAGAATTGGGTTTGTTATGGAAGGAAATGGTTTGGTTTTTAACTGCAGTCAAAATTTAAAATGATCTACAGTAATACAATAATTTTATTGACTAGAGGGTTTATCCAAGTCAGTAAAGAAGCAAAATATCATTCCCTGAGTTGCATCTAAAGAAATAGTTTTTTGATGATGGGTGAGTTAGTATGTGAAAGTCAAAAACATCTTGTAAATATCTTCATATATACAATAAAAACAAGCCATGCTGACCTGACTGTGGATTAAAAAAAAAAAAAAAAGTAAGGGACATAGGACTTTTGCTCCTGTCTCCACCTTTAGGGACCCATCTTTATATACAGGATATATAGGAAGATAATATTCCGGATGTCTAGGATGTAAGGGATATATAGGACATTTAGAAAGTTTGTATTATATCGAATATACAGGATGAGTCTATTATCTCGGAAATACAGTATATTCGTACATTTTTTTTTCTAATATATAACCATGCTAATATTATGTCCAATGTGCATACACTGAAAGATATAAAAGATAGAGAGGGCGGTTCTTATAAAAAACCTGGTCATCGGCTAGGTAGTGCATATGAGCAAGAGCTCGAAAAAAAAATAAGATCCGTTACCGAATTTAACTCTGAGATTAATGATCTCAGTGAAAAGCTGGTAGATAAATACAATGAGCGAGAAAAGGAGTTTCAGCAAAACTATGCCGACATGGAAAATAAAGCTAGCCAGTTAATTGCGTCCAGTACTAAGGTTAGATCCCAACTTATTTCTGAACGGAAGTCTCATTATGAGAGCCAACGTGAGCTTGAAGCCAAATATACCGCCGAAATCCAATCGCTCAAATCAGAGAAGAGAAAGGCGACTTTGGCCCAAAAAGCTTCGTACGCTGACAAGATCCAGATTCTTTCTTTTGAAACTAAAATACGTGAATTGGAAGGTAAGTTGGATGACTTGGAGCTAGAACAGGTGCTCCACGGTTCAAATGTAGTAGAAGAGCCGGCCCAAATAAGCTCATCCGATCCTAAAGAGATTGGTTCCCTCAGGCTTGAATTGGAACGGGCAAGGGATGATTTGCCTTAGAAAAAATACGAAATAGAATGTATGGAAAAAGGAATAGAGTCCTCAAAAAACATATACAATTAGACGATAGATTCTTTATTTTCAGCGCGGTCAAATTTAACAGAGGCAAATAGGTCCCTCAGGGAGCAGTTAGCGTTAAAGAAAAATAATGTAGATCATCCACCCCCTCCTATAAACAATTCAACTTGGTCCTGAAGGGACTCTTCCCAATCTTGACCCGACAATTTCTGTAGGTGGCGCAGAAGCGGTATCATTGTACCAAGAAATGCCTCTAATACCAGCTGTTCCTGCCATTGAAAGCTCCTTAATGCCATATGTTATACTTGCTTTATTTCTTCTTATAATTATATGGATCATTGGGAAAAAATATGGAATTCGTGGAGTACGAACCCAAGAGAAAAAAATATTATTAAAGAACAGATCCAAAGGGATCACATAGGTCAGACATTTTTTATCTCAAATCCTAATCGACTACTGGCGCTAATGGGACTTCTTCGAATCTTTTTTGGATATGAGCTAATACCTTTTCTGATAAATCTCTTTCGGCTTGACGCTTAGGCGGATTTATCGACTTTTTTAGCTTGGGCCATCGTACATGCAAATAACCATCCAATATGGATCCGGTCACCTCCCTTACCATTATGCCCACGATGTAGTCAACTATTACGATATCTGCCATTCCTTCCAGATCTGATATTATCTTATTAAATAGTCACTTATCCTCTTCTGTGATCGGGAGGCGAATTTCATTTGGTTCAGCCATTATACCAATAAAAAGCCTATGTTTAAAAATACTGGCAGATTTTTCAGCCGATCGTAAACCTATTAACTAGTTAACGGTTTTGCCAAATTATTATATGAAAATACTAATGATCATCTCCGACCATCCTAGGTCGGAAGTTCGAATATAGAAAGTGAAGTTAGCCGGTATTATTCAAGAAAGAAAATATATAAATGATATTATGCGAAGCGTCTTAGGGCTAAGTTTTCTTGGCTGAAATTGCCACATCCCGCTAAGAGTACTTAAGCTCTCTTACAGCCATATCCTGGGAATATTTATCGATCTTCTTTTCTCTCACATCTGAATCCTTGATCTGCATTATTTTATGTGATGGTGGGGGTTGATAGCTATCGTCCTCATTAATAAAGCGTGCGCACATTCAAACCGTAGTGCCTAAATAATAATTGATATCTATTTCCATGTTTTGTTCTTTTGCTATGTCCGCATACTCCATATACTGTAATCCCCAACTCTATACGGTATTAACCTGCCTTTCTCATTGCACCAGGATCGGGAATACTCTCATTTCTCTCTCTCATACGTTCCATAAAGCAATTGTTGCAGAGATTTTTTTTCTTAGGCTTCCATGTACCCATTACGATAAATTCATTGAAATCCGGGCTTTTCTAAGAGTATATTTAACAATTTCGTGAATTGGGCACGTATTATTAATATCCATAGCCTCTCTCATAATCTTCTCTCCGATGAATTTGAGAAGCTGGGATTTACCTTGCTTTACAGTTTCTATCCCTTTCATGAAAAGTTTTTTCGGCTTAAAGTTTACTACATCTTCATGCCCAACCCCAAATTACTTCTTTTTACCAGTAAAGCAGACGGGAAATAATACCTCTTCATATGCCATCTTTAGATAAGTCGTCCCACTTTTTATCCTGAGATAAGTGTTTACTTGATCGCGCAACTTTCTCATCACATCAATAGTATTTTTGACCATTTCAGTCCAGTACGCTTCTTTGGAAAGTTCTTCTGGAGAAGGCTTCATCGCACTTCTCGTAATACCTATCCGGGCAGGTGAGATACAAAGAATCGGTGTCCCCATATTTTATCCCAAACCCTTTCTTTGTTCCGAATTCGGCAACAAGATTAAGGTTATATTTTCCCGCCGTAGTTGTTCCAAAGGCTAATTCACGAAGAAAGATAGGAGATAGTGAGTTTCCGGCTTCCCCATAAAAAGTGTTCATATATACCTTAAAGCTTTTTGCTTCGAATCCCAATAATCGTAATCGAAGCATATGGATGAGTATTCTAATTTTAAGCTTTCCGGAATCTTTTTGCCTCTTTCTTTAGCTGAACTTATCATCTTCCCAAGATGTTGCTTTTTCTTTCCTAGTGGGGCTAGTCGTGCTTTAAGTTCCAACCTCTTGTTAAATAAATCCTCCAATACGGCCGGATATAGGCCTTTCTTTTCCGTTTGGTTATCATGGCGGACGCACCAAGCTTGAACGATATGATTATTAAACGAAAACTCAATCTCATGCAAGTTATTTCCATTATTTTCCGCAATATCGGCATCCTTTGGATCAAATATAAATTTTTCTGGGGAGAGGCTATATGCCATGATAATACTGGGATATAATGAAGCAAAATCAAATCCCGTTACAGGTCTTCCACTTTCAATCCCTTTTTTTAGGTGGAAATACGTACGCACCAGGATATTTCCCTTTTTCTATGTTTTCACGTACCCTTGTACTAATTACTATTCCTCGTTTGACAGCACATGCGCCAAGAAGGTTCCGTACCTTCATTCCATTTGCCCAATAGTGTGTGTCGAAAAGAGAAACATAAGCTATGGAGGCAACTTCTCTATAATCATTTATTATACTTTGGTTTACCAAAAGCTCTTGACAGCGCAGTGCATCTATAATACAGTAATGTGCTACTTTACGCATATTTCTCGCGGTTGTTGAGGAGGGGCTTTTTTTCGCCTCTGAATAGATTTTCCACATTTTATCGTATAGCATGTCGGCCTTACTGTCAAGACTACACTTTTGTAAGAAAAATTTAAGTGAACCTTTCTTTTCGACTTCAGAACGAGGGAAACGTTTTTTGAGACACACTCGGACGTCAATTGGTACACAACCTGGCAGTTTAAGGAAGCTAGAAGTAAAATTATCTTCCGCACTAATTTTGATCTTAATTGGACCGCCCATATATTCTTTCTCCTCTGGATCCTCTTCACCTTCCTCGGGAGCCTTAACAGGATACTTTTTCATGCAATCATTTTTATATTTCGCTCCTATCTTTCCACGATATTTCCATTTATAATTCTTTCCTTTGTTTCAAACTTTCCCGTCATTCGCTCCCACATCCATTCGAGTATGTTAAGGTGATAAGCTCTTTCCATAATGAAACGCCAATCATAGTCTGAATCGTTGAACCCGACTAGGATGTCAGGGGCAAATGCTCGAGCGAATGCCTTTAGCAGATTTTCCTGGTTTCCACATATTATTGTGGTCCATCCCGGATCTGGTTCCACGTCAACGTCGACAAGACATATTTGCTTTAGTGATTTTGGATCATCTTTCCAATGCCAATCATAAAAACATTATGATTCAGATTGGGGACTTCAGCAAATTCACCCAATTCTTGAGATTGCGTCTATATATCCCACGTGAGGACAAGAGTACGATACCGTAAGAGAGCTGAAATAGGGAATCGATCACTTATTGTTGTAAAATCATCCACTGGCTGAAAATATTTTTAGAAGTATAGAATATACAGTATGTGGGCAGAGAGGATCGATCCTTTTCTTATGTATATATTTACTTAACATACAGTAGACCATCCGGAGAGTTGGATTCCATTTTCTCGAGCCACCTTTCAATGAAACGAGTATAAATCATCGGATGCAGTTTCAAAGTTATTTTCTTGAATGGCTTTAATGGCTGTTTTTCTTTTATCAGTACCACTCGTATAAATACATAAATATGTCTTTTTTTCTGTATGATATCCACGAAAAGGGAAAGCTTTAATATGCTCTATTTTTAAAGTCTCCACCTTACCGGAGAGAATATCTCTTACTTTTGTTTCACATTCATCCGGAGACTCCTCGTCTGGTACAAGAATGTCAAAGAATACAGGAATACCAGAAAGTGTTACCACCGCCCTTTGGCCATTAATAAGAGAGCCGTAGGGACGTAATACGTAATTCAAAGTTGATTTTGTTTTTATTATTATTAAAGAATTTACTAAATAACTTTTAATAAAATTTATACTAATGTGT